TTAAGCCTATCACTACGACTATCCCATATTTTCTATAAATAAATAACTAGTAATTGGTAAACATACTTAAAATTACATTAAAATAAATTTTAAGTTCAATTTAACGCTAAATTTGACCTTGAAAAAGCGCGGGAAAAATGGGATTTAGACACACGATCAGATTGCTTCTATTTATTTTTTAATAAAAAGAAACGTATATGATTATTAATCTATACGAGTGATACTCTAGGTTAGAATAAAATGTGCGGGAAGGGTCAAGGAATCCCAATACACAAATATGTCGTGACGTTTCCTGCTTCGTATCGCCTCCACTTTGTAAATAGGACCTTCTTAGGACATTCATAGATCTTAACGAGGACGTAGTGGGCACATGGACCTTTTCGGAACATCCTCCGTATGTACCGTACGCCCGGAACGTACGTTCTCCGGATATACATATGACGTTTCTGTGCTATTTGGGTAGTGATCAAGGACACCATCACGAGGTAACCAAAGATGATAAAAATGACTCTGGGAAGATCCTCTATCTCTTCCGATTTCTATCCTCGATAGAACACAAGATCAATCGTCCAGAAATTTCGGAGTCAATCATACTTTTCCAGTCTTCCCAACCAAGTTATACGCGAAATAAAACACGTGCAATTAATATTCCATCGCGTTCTTAACTTCCTTTCGAGTCTTCCTCCTCGGGTGTGACTTCCGTCTATCGCGGGCGCGTGCATAACAGGAAGAGAAGAATTGAAAGTAGCACTGGAGAAGCAACGGGGCACGATAATAAACATCGTTTCATTTCTTTCACCTGGGTCACCGATGGATCGGTTCGTGCAATTTTCAACCAGGACCCTATTCGCGAGAACCGTCGTTCGAGCGTCGATTCACAGCTCCGATTAAACTGGCTCGCGAGATCCGAACGACGATTATACGTACACTCTCATCCTCCATTGTTATTCAACGAACAGCAGGGCCCCGATTGTCGATGCACCGGGGGCCCGAGACTCGCGTTCGTCCGCCGAGTAGAAAACCCGAGGTTCAGAGAGTGGACATAACTTCGTGGAACGACCGCCGCGGATCACCGAGCAAACGCGACGGAAAGATAAAATATCTGGGGCTGGTCATGTATTATGGATGCCTGCGAACAATTATAAAGCAGTAACATATAAATTTAAAAGAATGCTCTCCGCGGAGAATTCACGACGTGCCGCGTGCCGAAAATATTCTTGGCCGCGGAACAAGTAAATGGACGTTGTCGAGCTCCATTATTTTACATTCGAATGAAGAATTACGGCGGCGCGATAAAGCTCGTGATTTACACGCAGAGCTGTCCAGGAACCTCCGTTTATGACGGTATTGTCAACTGTATTGCGACCGTTCTGACCGACACGTAATACAAATATCAAATATAACGATAAAATACCGTCAGCATAAACGGAAAGTCAGTCGAAATCGGCTCCGCGATAAACGTGTCAATCGTCCACTAATGTCTGCATACAGCCCAGTGTTCCCAATTTCGCGAATCGTCTCTTCAATATCTCCTCCCGTTCATTGTCCCACGACTTTCCTCGATCTTTTATAGATTTCAACGTCGAGAATAATCCTCCGACATACCGATGAAAAGACCTAAAAATAATAAATCGACGTTGGTTAGGAATTCCTCGATCACAGCTCCTCCGAAGGATCGCGCGCGCGCGGCTGAACGCGTTGCACAACTAACACACAATCGGCCAATAGAGAAAAGGCTGCGGTTGCAGGCCACGGAGAGCACTCTCGGGCCTCTCTCGAGCTCCCTCAAGGTGGTCTCGTCTAAATATAGCCGAGTGGAGCCCAGAATAACAGCACGTCGCGAGCCGGCAATGACCAAAGCCCACCTCGTTCACCAACCACGATAAACCGACCAGGTTGGTCAAGTTTTGTCTACCCGCCGGCCCTCGGCTCGTTCCTCACCGGCGGCCCTCCCCCTACTCTCCACCGAAGAGGGGTCCAGTCTTAAAACAATACGATTCTGCCAAGGTGTGCGCGCGCGCGCGTGCGTGCGTCCTCCTCTTTGTTGGGGCCCCACAGTTCGACGGGAACCCACCAACCGGGTGGCGGGGGAACTGGTTTTCTATCCCAGACCAGTTTCGTCCACCGGATCATCGATCACCGGGGGGGGGGGGGGCGTTTTATGCAAAACTCAAGGGGACACGGTTGCGTGGTCGCTGCGTTTTAGTTACGTACGATTGCGTCCATCGCGAGATCCTTCTCCGATACTTCTAACCTCTTGGCGGACCGACACGACTGGGGTATATTGTTTCCAGGAAACATCCCTGACAACGTGATATCGTGGACTGTCCCGAATTCTGTGATTAATAATATCTTCGGACGTTATTCCAAGATCAGGACGGTAGCATAATTAGTTAATCCATGAACATGGAAAATTTCATGGAGCCCGAAGAATTTCATACGTAATAAACTCAACAGGATGACTCCGTTGCGCGTTTCGAGGGATTACAAGATTGACGATTGAATTGGTGGAGAGGATTGAATTCACGGCGGAGTTCCCCTAATTCCTTCAAGGTCGAGGCTATAGATCTTACCGATCTGACGCGTGCGCGTTCGTGGGTACCACGGCTTCCTCCTCGCGATCAAACGTCGGGCAAGCTCGCGCCACCGACGAACAATAATAATTTTGTCATTCCCGATGCGACGGCCTACGGTGGGCCCTACTTCCTCCTCCAATTCCGTCGTGTCGCACTGACCGGATCAATTTCGTTTTTTTCCGAAACGACGATTACAATGATCTCGCTATCAAGGCGCGTAGTACTACCACTTCCTTTCGGCGAATTTAACGCCGACGCACCTCGTTGTTCTCCGTTTACCGTGTGTGTGCGCGCGACACTCGCAACATCCGGAGGAGGATTCCAAAAGGAGCAGGGCAGCGCCTACGTTCACCGGACCAGCAGTCAGAGTTCCCCTTTTTGCACGTTTCGCTCGTGTCCATATTGACCGTTCCTATTCGAAATTCCCGCGCAAACACAGCCGGTCGAAGGTACGATCGGAGACAACAGAAGGGCTGAGGGAGAGAGGGGGTGAAAAAAAAAAGGAATAGTCGCGGACAGGTGGGTAAATTGCTGACGATCACGGCTTCCTGGAACCGTGGGAGGAACAGCAGAGAAAAAAAGACGGTTCCAAACGACGGACCTTGGTCAGGCTCGGCTGTAAAATTATACCTCGTCTGTTTCATCAGTACCGAAGCCGTCGTATCCACAACTACTTCTAGACGAGATATTCCCAACAGGTGCATCGAATGTATCCTCTATGAGTTTCCCGTCGCGACGCGTTGCATCCCAACCACATTCGATCCATTGTTGCAACGAAACGCAACAATGTACGACGGGATAAATTACATAATTCACGGCGGAATGGGTAGAGCCTTCCTGTTCTCGGCAGCGGATGAGATTTTTTTTTTCTGCGCGTCGTACGTTAAATCACATCCGCCACCCGCGCCTCTCTGTGTACCCACAGACACTGTTCTCCGTAGCAATTATATCATCGCTCCACTTTGTATCTTGACGATAAAACGGAGCAGATTTTAACCCGATACCCTTTGTGTATTATAATCTCCCTGTACGTTTCCCGCGAACAGAAGAAATTTCTTCTCCTCCACACGGCCGTAATCGTGTGACTCTTCCTAAACCGTTCTCAAGAAAAACGATCCTTTTTCTCCGTTAACCGGATACACGATCGGTGCCGGAGGAGAGAAAGGTGCCAGCTGTGTTCCACGGTGCAATATTGTAGCGAGGGAAAATCGGTGAACAGATTCGCATGGGTCTCGTTGACTCTGATCGATCGAACGGAACAGACAGTGGATGATATTGGAAAGAGAAAAAGAAATAAAAAACAAAGGAAAGTCGATCGCGGCGGTCTGTAATCCCCGTGGTGGTTTTGCCACGGTTTAAAGTAGAGGAACTGACCCCCCCCCCCAGTTGTCACGTTTAATTTATATGTTAATGAGCGCATGTCACATTTCAACGGTACGGGACACAACCCGCCCCGTGTGCGCGCACTTATGCGCGCGAGCTCGAGAAGAGAGTTGCTGCTGCTGCTTGCTTGCCCCGTTCATTCCACTTCTCCTCCTGCCCTCCTTCGCGGTGGCTGCCACAGGTTTATATTTAACCGCGCGCCACACACCATGGCACCCGACGCAGCCCACTTTGCCGCGTTACTCTCCTGGCTTCTACTCTCTTTCGATCTCTTATACTCTCTCTTTCCATCCTCCCTTTTTCTTCCTGTTTTTCCCTGCACTCTCTTTGTCTCTCCTTTTGGACCCATCCTCTTCTTCTTCTTCTTCGCTGTCCTTCCCCTTCATCCCTCCCACGTTTCAATTTTCTGGCCTTTATTCTTCCGCAACCTCTTTTCATCCGTTTGTCCATTCCTCTCCAATTCGCGGTTTCAACCCTTTTGATGTCCTTTTTATTCGATGGCTTTGCTGATGACTTCCGCTACTTCCGTCGCGAACAGTGTTCAAATTTCATTCGAAATCTGTATACTATCACCTTCTAAAACCCTGTTGAAATCGAAGTTGGGCAATCAAAGTCCTTCTCTTGTTAGTTTATGCATCCACCGTGGTCTTCACCATTGGCGTAACTAGGTAGGGGCCAGGGTGGGCCTGGCCCCCCCCGGAATACGAACTGGTCCCCCACTCCAGAAGTTACGGAAAAATATAAAAAAAAAACATTCGTCGGTTGGTAAAATCTTATGTTATAAAAAATAAATATCACCGAAATGCAATACGCAATGCAACTAATTACAAAAAATACAATATTATCCTCGTTACGTTAAAGTATTAAGTAAAATTGTATTAGAATTAAGCTATTTAATTTTTACATTCTACTTAACTAATAATCCTGCAATATCGATTGAAAGATAATGAATTAAATTACGTACGGATGCCTGATGGGCAGTGTTATCGGCGAAAGTCAGGGAACGGAAGAACATCACTGACATCGTCTGTTCGATTTCAGAAATGCTCGGACTACAAGGCCTCGAAGGTGAACACGTTCGCGAGGACCGAGCCGCCGGACACGCAGGTGACGAAGTCGGTGATCGCGTTGCTGCTACACTACGGCTGGAACAAATTCACGATCATCACCGAGAGCGCATGGTCGACGGTCGCCCGTTCGCTGGAGGAACAGGCGACCAAGAACAATCTCACCCTGAACCATTACAAGACCGTCGAGGATCGGCACACGTGTTGCGAGGAACGGCTGCCCTGTTGTCAAGTCAGCGTGTGGTTCCAACTTATACAGGAGACCAAAAATATGACCAGGAGTCAGTCCAACTTCCATTTACATTAATCTAGTGGGAACACTATTGGATCGTTCGAAACGAGATTATTTCCTTTTCTGTGTTTCGTGGGAATATTTGTCGTGTCATGGGAATCTTTCTCGATGTTCCAGGAACTCGTTCCTAATCCATCGATTCGTACGATCCAGTCCTGTTCCATTCGAATCGGTGATACACACGAGCTTCGATATCCAGCCGGTAATTCTTGACGGAGGAGATATCTTGTGGTCGTAGAATCAACCGGAAGTTTAACATTAGAACTACCAAGCAAGTCAAAATGGCTTGTCAATATACTCTTCCAACGACGATTAAAATGTTATGACAATACGTTCTCTCAGATATTTTGCACCTTTTATTACGATATTAAAGTGAAGAAATTAGTGAATTAAAGCATTATTATGCAGCTTAAACTACTTATTGTCGTTTTGGGACACTTGGTCCTTTGCCTTCTGATTCGTCTAAACTCAGTTTCAAGTCCAATCCTTGTTCCAAAATAAGTTCGAGATTTTGTCTCGTCTTTACTGCAACGCACGTATCCACCTGTGGAGTGCCAAATTGACTACCACACGATATCTCCTAATCCACGGCGACTGTCACGATCATGTCAATGATTCATCAGCTCCGTAAAACTCTCGATCGTCTCGATAGAGCCCACGCTTCGTACATGCTTACAGTTCACCCGGTTCCATGCGACTATTTCCGTACCGATTTCCTTCGTGTAATCGTGGTAGCGTCCACGGTTGTTCCCGTTCGATGATCTCATTGATAATTCGCGGCAAACGGGCGAGTTTTCCTACGCCTGCAGAAACACACAAGCGTGAAAGTCAAGAGTTTCCGTTCTGGAAATCGTCTCGCCGCGTATACGATTCGTGTACACCGACGAGCATACTCGGCTACCACTAGGGAAAAAAGTAACGAGTTGTAAATTCCAGGCTCGACCGTCGTGGTACGCGTATAGTTGCGACTGTTGCTCGCCAAATTAATATTAGGCAACTGTTTCAATATTCTTTAAGTGAGAATAATTAATATAATTGCTCGACCGGTAGAGCTGACGAATCGTGAGGTGAATGTTGTCGAATGAATTGAGTCCGTGTGACTTTTGTCGATACGAGTGTTTGCGAATGAATGTTCGAATACGAGTGAATGTTTTCGAATGCTTGTCGAGTTTCGTGTGACGTCGCGTTTCTTCCAAGTTCGCTGAAGGCGTTACCAAAATTCGCCTCCTTATTGGTTATGCCCTGAAGGGGAAGGCAAATTCCTGGGTTTTTCCAAGTGACGTGGAGGTGGAAAAACTCTCCTTCAGGGCGAAACGGACGCCAGAAAAATATCGCGCACGTGGTCACGAATTTTCGAGTCTCTCAACGGTAGGGTTTTATGGCTGTATTGTCTGCGAGTCAGCGCGCCCCGGTAAGGCCCGGCGCGGATGGGTCCCAGGTTACCGAGCGCACGTGGCGGACTGCAGACCAAATGTTCGAGTCTTTTGTCTATTATTCTCTTTGTGAACGCAGTTAAATTGCAAGGGCTAGTCGCGAAAATGTACAAACTGCCCGGACGAAGGAAATAAAATAGTGAAAAATAACGGTACCGTCTGACTCTATAGCCGTCGTTTCGGTCTAAGACGGAACATAACGTAAGGAAAGGGCCTCTTACCATTCAGTTTTGGCAATTACTGAAATTTATGCCAAATTAACATTCGGTTTAACATTTATTTCAGTACCTGAAATAAATTTTACCAAATGGTAGGAAGCTCTTTTCTTACGAAGAAGGACATTCTACTACTTGGTAAATTTATTTCAAGTATTGAAATAAATGTTAAATCGAAAGATCCTTTGGCATAAATTTCTATAATTCCCAATACCAAGTGGTAAGAAGCCGTTTCCCAGCGCCACTTTTTTCCCTAGTGGAAGCCTAGTTTGCTCGTGGATGTACCCTCACGAGCAACCTCGGTTTCCTCTAGAGGAAAAAGTTACGTAGTAGTAGGACCTTCTAGTACTTGGTAAATTTATTTCAAGTATTGAAATAAATGTTAAATCGAAAGATCCTTTGGCATAAACTTCTATAATTCCCAATACCAAGTGGTAAGAAGCCGTTTCCCAACGCCACTTTTTTCCCTAGTGGAAGCCTAGTTTGCTCGTGGGTGTACACTTGTATGAACACCCTATTACGCGTTCTTCGGTCCCTCTAACGGAAACACGTTGAACATGTTTGAACAGTATACATATTCCTGGGCACGGCGATGTCGCTGATCGACATGATGAACGCGATGCAGAACCAACGTCTGCTCGACAACGGGGAGTACATGGTGATACACGTGGACATGATGACGTACTCGCCGCGCGAGGCGCAAAAGTACTTATGGAGTGAGTATATACTGCCCGATCGACGTCACAGCCGAGAAAACGATTCGTGAAATTCGATTGACCCGATTCCGCCGACAGCAACGCCACACACGTCGTCTTCTTGCGGGTCTATCCTTCGGCGGGAATGTTTCTCGTTACCTCATCATTTCCGTATATAATCCCCCGATTGGCTAAACGTCACACGGGTCAAGCTCGGCTACGGTCTGGTGACCCGATTTCTTGACACGTGACCGTACACGGAGGACTCCCAACGACGATGTTTACAAAGATTATACAATATCTCAGTCCCACCCCCATTACCTGGTTATTTGTTCTTCAAAAGCTGAAAAAATGACGTTTCATGGAACCACTCATTAAGGGGGGATCTAGGGAGAGCTGTAGGACCGGTTCTCATGTTCCAGGGGGGGGGCCCTGTTCTGAACCTTTCATTTTTTTATGATTAAATGTTCTTCAATTTTATTTAACACTAACCGTACATATAGGTATATAAAAGTCTCGGTACGGTTAGTGTTAAAATAGATTTAAATGTTTGAAGATTTATGTATTTTGTACTGTATTAAAAAAAATCACCCAACCTCCACCTCTTTTCAACCAAAAGAGCTCCTGAATATGATAGCCCTGTGCCATAAAAAATCTTGATTCGAGCCTGCCTGGAAAACCAATGGGGTCACGTACACGGGGATGCTTTACCTTCCAGAACCGGAACATTTCGACAATCTGCACAATTGCCTGGAGCCGAAGGACTTTCTAAAGAGGGCAAAATCGTTGATGGTGGTGATGTCCACGCCACCGACACAGAATTACGAGGAGTTCACGAAACGGGTCCGCGAGTACAGCAGCAAAGAGCCGTTTAACTTCGTGATCCCTGAACTGCTGCGGAAGTACGAGAAGGTAAGTTTTTCTTCCTGCGACATCCTGCTGTCAGATCCTTCGAATCATAAACAATTACGTGGAAACTTATCGAAACTGGGGGGATTTGCGTTATTGTTTTTTTTAGTACGTCTCGATTCACGCCGCGTACCTGTACGATTCCGTGAAACTGTACGCGAGAGCCCTGGACCAGCTGCTGCGTGACCAGCCGGAGCACACGCTGGAGGAGATCGCGAGTAACGGCACGCAGATCATAGAGACGATTATCAGGAATCACACGTATCAAAGTAAGTACGTATAATCCGTTAACACACAGCTGCAATCTGCAAGTCGCCGCTCGAATCTACACGCGCGGTGGTTTGTCCTTTTTTTTTTTTTTTTGTACGATCCCCCGATGTCTTCTATAGGATAAGACCAGATCGAAGATTAAAGTGATCTCTCGATACCGATCGATCATTGGTTTCTCGGCACGTCTGATTCTATGAATTCTGAATGCATGCCTGCCCCCTTCGGTAAATGAATCTGTAATTCGTGACATAGAGTCGGGAACAAGACACGTTATTGTGTTGAATAATTATTTAACGAGAGTCTGGATTTTCCTGAACACAGGTGTAAGCGGGGCGACGATAAAATTCGACAAGTTCGGGGACTCGGAGGGGAACTTCTCGGTGCTGGCCCTGAAGAAGGACCCGTTCCGTTTGAACAACTTCTCCTGCGATTATCAAATGAAACCCGTCGGCCAATTCCAACAGGGTGAAATCCACACAACGAACCCGTCGCCGTTCACTCCGCGCCAAACGATCCACGAGGAAAGAAACGATCGGCGTCTGGAAACCCGTAAAAAAGAATCGATACCCTCTTCGGTTCGCAGGTGTACAGACCGTCGGAGTCGATGGACTGGCCAGGTAAAAACAAACCGGAAGCAGAGCCAGGATGCGGTTTTCTCAATGAACACTGTCCGAAAGACGACACGCATCTGCGTAGCATCGTCGCCGCCGGCGTCCTCGCCGTTCTGTTGTTCTGCGCGGCGGTGATCACGATGAGCATATATCGTAGATGGAAGATCGAGCAGGAAATCGAGGGACTGCTGTGGAAGATCGATCCCAGCGAGATACACGGTTATCCTCATCTTGACAACATGATGTCCTCCCCTAGTAAGGTAGCTAACTCGATTCATCGCTTATTACTCTGGAGAAGGGGCCAAGAATTATATATTTTTGCCTCCGTTCTGCGTTATGTACCAGTCAAATTCGAAGAGACATTCCGGAAATATAAACAGTATAACGTTTTATGAGGATTGAACTTGATCGCCTATTACTCTGGAGAAGGGGCTAAGAATTATATATTTTTGCCTCCATTTTGCGTTAAGTACCATTCGAATTCGAAGAGACATTCCGGAAATATAAACAGTGCAACGTTTTATAAGGATTGAACACATTCAGCAGTGAATTCTGTTATTTTTTTTCCAACTGTACGATTTTACAATTGTGTTTCCTTGCATTTCCGTTCCAGTTAAGCTTAGTTAGTGCAATGTCCTACGAGTCAAGATGCGGCGGCCAGGTGTTCGCTCAAACCGGGCATTACCATGGGGTGGTGGTGCGTATAAAGGAGCTGAAGTTCTCGAAAAAGAAGGACATCTCGCGGGACGTGATGAAGGAGATGCGTATCCTACGGGAGATCCGGCACGGTAATCTGAACTCGTTCATCGGCGCGTGCGTCGAGCCGATGAGGATATTGTTGATTACGGACTATTGCGCCAAAGGAAGTCTTTACGTACGTTACCTATTGCACCCATCGTAGACAAAACTCGTGGTCTATAGATCTTTTTGATCTCAATAGAATCGATCTTATCCGTTTCAGGACATAATCGAGAACGAGGATATTAAGTTGGACGATATGTTCATCGCGTCGTTAGTTCACGATCTCATTAAGGTGAGTGTTCCCAGAATACTGGGATACCCAGCTAACTGTACAATTGCTTTAAAGATGGTTTCACTCGGATCCAGGGTATGCTGTACATTCATGAGTCGTCTGTGCTAGTCTGTCACGGTAATCTGAAGTCTTCCAATTGCGTGGTGACCTCGCGATGGGTACTGCAAGTCTCTGATTTCGGACTGCACGATATGCGGCACTGCGCCGAGTCCGATAGCATTGGTGAACATCAGTATTATCGAAGTACGAGACACGATGGAATGGTTACATCCCGTTAGTTCGATCCACGGTTCACCGACGACGATATTATGTTAAGCGTACCTTGTCTCTGTTGTAGATTTATTTTGGAAAGCACCCGAGCTGTTAAGGAATCCCAATGCTCCGATCAGAGGTACTCAGGAGGGAGACATTTACTCGTTCGCTATAATACTGTTCGAAATGATTGGACGGAAAGGGCCGTACGGTGGCGTGAATCTAGAACCCAAAGGTAACTATACACGGCCCCCCGGTACAGTAATACATGAATTCGCTTTCGTTGATCGAGAACTCGCTTAAAAACCGACGATATAAATATCGTTCTGAAAATTCACAGAAATCATAGACCGAGTGAAGAGGTTCCCGGAGGATGGTGAACCACCGTTTAGACCTAACATAGAGATACTCTCCGAGTCCGAGGCGGACTGTGCCGAGTATATAGTTAGTACGATTACCGACTGCTGGGCGGAAAGCCCGGAACTAAGGCCTGATTTCAAAATGATAAGGACGCGGTTGAAGAAAATGAAAGCGGGCCGGCATCGGAATATTATGGACCAAATGATGGACATGATGGAGAAGTACGCGAACAACCTCGAAGATCTAGTCAGTGAACGTACACGCCTTCTTTTCGAGGAGAAGCAGAAAACGGAGGATCTGCTTCACAGAATGTTACCCGAGTGAGTTGACGTTCGACGGTTCCTTGTGGAAACTGATTCTGTTTTTTTTTATATATAACAAACGTGTCGTGTGTTTAAAAACCGATTTTCTTTTCCAACAGACCCGTGGCTAACTGTTTGACAAATGGTATCGGTGTAGAACCGGAAGCCTTTGACCTGGTCACGATCTACTTCAGTGACATCGTTGGCTTCACCGCTATGTCGGCGGAGAGTACACCCTTCCAGGTATCACATCAGATATTCGAATGGCATAAACGCGTGTCCCTTACGTATATATATATATATATTAAAATTATCCGTGTAATAATTTTTACAGGTTGTAAACTTTTTGAACGACCTGTACACTTTATTCGATCGCATTATCAAAGGATACGATGTGTACAAAGTGGAAACTATCGGCGATGCATACATGGTGGTGAGTGTATTCACTCGTCGAAATCAGCTTAGATCGTGTCCAATCAGTCCCGAATGAAAAATTAAACGAGTTCTTTGCGGTCCCCTGACCTACTTAATTTCACAGAAATCGTATCCTTCTAGGTTTCTGGTTTACCTATCAAAAATGGAAACAGACACGCCGGGGAAATTGCATCGATGTCCCTGGAACTGCTCAATGCCGTGAAACACCACACCATAGCACACAGGCCTCAAGACACGCTTAAATTACGTATAGGAATCCATACAGGTAGGACTCGTCGTCCAACGTGTACATCGAATGAACTCGATGATATTTTGCACGAATCTCTAAAAAATAAAATATTTTCAGGTCCCGTGGTGGCTGGTGTAGTTGGTCTAACTATGCCCAGGTATTGTCTCTTCGGGGACACCGTGAACACTGCCTCTCGTATGGAATCGAACGGGGAGCCATTGCGTATTCACATAAGCGAACAGTGCAAAGATGCCTTGGACAAAATCGGTGGTTACATTATCGAAGAACGTGGTTTGGTTCACATGAAAGGAAAGGGAGATGTGAAAACCTATTGGCTCACAGGAGCCACCGAAAAAGCTATCCAAAAACGAGAGGTTACCGTACAATCTTATATACAAGTATATGTATATGATTATAGCGGAGTAATTTTATCTTTTTCGTATAGGTCGATGTAGGTGATCTACCGCCGCTTTTCTGCAGACCGAGAAGGAGTCCGAAATTAAACGCGGATTCTCGTCAGGCTTCATTATTAGGTGGCCTAGGAGCAGGCAGTCGAAGACAGTCGAGTGTACCGCGACCAACTACAGACGACTCTTCGTCCCAATGCGGAGGATCGAGCCCGTTACCAAGATCTCTCAACTCAAGAAAAATCGAACGATCTCCTCTTTATCTAGCAGACAGTGTATCCAAGACAACGTTGGACAACGTTACGCTGGACGACGCTGAGCCAAGGCCGATCACCATTAAAATGACGCTCGATGATTTCTACATCGACACCAGGCCGAAGTTTCGGAAAAACGCAAGAGTTTTATCGACGATAGCCTCGTCATCCTCCACCAGTGACTATCCATTCCAGAACATAATACGGGAGTCTCGTTCGCTGGACCCGTTCCCATTGGAATGGTACAACAAAAGGTTCGAATCGCCGAATTTCTCGTGGAAGCAGCCGAAGAAGAGTTTCCGATCGTTGGAGAACTGTGACAAGTGCACACGGACAAACTCGAAGACGAACATTTCCGGGAAAGTGTTGAATAACAATTATCCCAACGGTAATGTGATAATAGTGCCCCATACCGATGGATCGCCGAACGAGGCAGAGACACCGTTGTTAGGAGATGAAAGTGGCTGCATCGGGGAAGTAGTGCCTGTCAAACGTTGGCGTTCTTTAGATCAAGTGGCGTCCGTCCCCAATACGGACAGTGTGCCGGACAAGAAATCCTCCGCGAGGAATTCGATCAGAAGTTGGCTAATAAATCTGTTCAGTGGAAACGGATTAAGGAGCAGCGATGTTTCATTGAGACGTGGTGTGATAGCGGGCTACGATATACAATCGGAGCGGGAAAGTATAGTTTGATAATTCAGTTTTCCTTCCCTCGAAGAGAAAGCACACAAGTATATAGAACCCTGTGCTATGAAACGTATGAGTGCACAAAAACTTCATTACAAGGTCTACGAGTCATAAGCATGTTGTGTTGTTGCCATTTGTTTCTCTTCTTTTTTTTTTTTTTTTTTTTTTTTTTTTTTTTTTTTTTTTTTTTTTTTTTTTTTTTTTTTTTTTTTTTTTTTTTTTTTTTTTTTTTTTTTTTTTTTTTTTTTTTTTTTTTTTTTTTTTTTTTTTTTTTAAGTATAGATACGAGGAATGTATGGGTATAAAAGTTACCGAACGTGTATATTTTTAATACCTAGATATTTTATATGACTTGTACTAAAAAGTACACGTTGTATCGACGACGAACATGTCTTTTACATAACGCGGGATTATATCTATTAGAAGTCCTTTCTTTTTTTTTTTTTAATCCGAAAATCTAATGATGAGAATAAAGCGAACTGTTTTATAAAAATAATTAACCAAAGTACACAAACGCAGAGAATCGCGGAGATGTCTATCTCGAGTTTAGCACAAACGATGATTCCCTTTTTTTTTTTGTGATGCAGGAGAATATTGACGCGACACGCATATACATATTACTGCAACGCGTGTTTATTCACGCAATGTTCGAATTCACACGATTCAGGCATATGTATGTATATATATGTATGTATGTATATGTATACTTCTATACTTTGTTCACTGAAGGAAAGCAAATTATCCGTATGGCTGTGAAAAGTGAACTAGATTGTACCTAAGGTGCTTAGTAATATATCATCTTGTCAAATGTATATAAGTGAATAATAATATATCAATGTAAAGATAAACAGTGTAAATTAAAAGAAATATTCTATATTCTGTAAGAATCGATTAAAGATACATCTTTTCAAATAATGTATAACTTGATTTTTTTTATAATAAACAGCTACATCTTGTTCCCCTTTTCACTTTTATTTTGCAATTTCTGGTGTACAATATATGTATATATATATACATTCTTCAGATAATTTATACACAATTTACTCTACAAATACTCATGAGTATTTATCCATACTTAGCATACTGACCGAAGTTAAATGTTCGAGTCTTGGCCCGAAAGGAATTTTGACAAGAAATCTTTTGGCTTTGGCTCCCATGTCTCCTGCCAATAGTTCATAAGACCTCCTTTAGGTATCCACATATTGGTAACTTCCTGAAGTTTCATTTGACCCTAGTTTATTAAATTTTTTTCATTAAACTACATAAGACAATAAAAGCACAATAGCAAAGTATATTATAACATTCATATTTATGTACCTTAATAACAAGCAAGTCTATAACCCTTACATCTGTAATATTAGCATGACGTTTAAATTCTTCTTTCAACTTTGCCCGACAATCATTTTCTGTTTTAGGGATATCATAATCCAATACTACAAAACAAATGAACTTACATGTAGAAGCTGCAGTTACAAGTGACGTTTGTTAAAACAGTGTTATAAGTGAACTTCGAACTGTTACTTTACAGAAAAGTACAGAGTAAATTGATAATTCTGATATAACTATTTTCACCAGTTAGGTTAAGCAAGGTCGTTTCTAAATAATACCAAATTCAAAAAGTATTAACATACATACCCGTTTGTGGAATCTGTCGGTACCATGCTTTATACAATAGTAATACTCTTCTATGAGCATCTTTTTGATTTAGAGAGAGAATCGGTTTCACCTTCTTCCAAGCTACCCTTGTAGGAGTAGCCATTTTTCAGTTACGCACAGTTACGCAGTATTGCACTCTGAGGCAAGAATGTATCACCACAGACAAGATATAGAATAGACCTAACATCTTACGGGACATCGTGTCACATGCTCTGAAATACCGATCGTACAAAAAATCAGAGATTTTCTGCTGCTCTCTACGTTATAAGAAGGGTGAATTCGGGAATTACATATAATCCAACTCGAGCCCAGTTAGCCAAACTATATATATACAAGTAGTATTTAAAGTAATTGTTATTAAATTTATACAAATACCATTGAAAGTTGTACATTTTTTTACGATTCTTTCAATAAAAAAGAATCAAATCATACGAATGCATTATTCATTAATCCCAGCACTATCTCGTCTCCTATTCCTAATTTCAATTTACCAAAAAAATAATAAGAAACATGAGGCTACCATTTTTTGAGCAAATTTATGATTTTACCAAAATTACGGTAGCCATTTGGTGGCGGAAATTGAAACTAATTCTAGAACTTTTACAAAAAGCACAGGAAACTGCACCAAACTGGTATGTGGCGACATCTGGCGGTGACTGCGGGAACTAGTCTAAAAGTTCTGATTTGGTTCCACTTTCCGCCAGTAGGTGGCTACCATAATTTTAGAAAATCCCTTATTTGCCATTTTCCCGCGCTTTTTCAAAAATATGAGATAGGCGTAGTGACAGGCAACTTAACTGTTTCTTATTGAATAACTGAGAAGAAAATACACAATTTACAATAGTATTTGAATAAATTTCACAACAATTGCCTCAAATACTACTTATATACATGATTTTACAATATATTTATACTCAACATTTTTATTCAGACTTATAAAATATTGTAATTTATCCATCGCAAATAATTCTCTCTTCTGTAACTTGTAAATTTTCCGTACGATTTTCGAAGCTTCATAATTGTTTCATAAGTTTGAGTAACTTTAGTCTTTAAAGTACTCAGATTGAAGTTAGTTATAAGGGTAATTGTAAAAGGTGGAATTTATGATTAGAGGGCTACGAACTTGTAATTTGTTTGAAAGGAAGGTTTTCTTTGTTACATCGAACCTAGATTATTTCAAGACCAGATATATGACATACTAAATTTTATGAGAATGTGTAGAACTTTAAATATTTTAATAATTTGATTGAAATAAAGGCACATAAATATGTATATAAAACTGAAGATTACTTTTAAATCTGTCTCTTAGTCTGTAAGTGTTTGGATCAGGATATAAGTGTTGCTGGACTATGAAAATTTCGAAAGCATGTTGATATAAATGGAACATTAAAACTTTTCTTACTTCTGTTCGTTCCAGGTGGTTTAAAACATTCTGACTGGAATTGTAAATGCGAGAAGGGTGTTGAATTTCGTTTCGAATATGGCGCCGGCGGAATTTAGTGGCGATCATCTACTACGGGCGTCGCTGACTGACCGCGGCATGAATTGAAGGGACGCGAGAAACTCAAGCGTCCGCAACGCTAAACCGCCAGTCCCGGGGCGATTGAACGCGCAGGCGTCGCACGTTTATTATCTTCTTTCTGTTCAAGTGCCATTCCATTGCATGCAGTGCAGTCTATAAAACAGAGAATGCGTTCTCGGTGGATCTCGAGTTTCCTATCACTTATCGTCATTCGTAGCGTATAAACATAACAGCACGCGGTCATTAACTTACGAATTGTTTACGTGTCCCCGCGCGGACCTACACGATGATGGCTTGTTGATGTTGGGCGTCCGGATGCTGGTTACTACGCGCTAGAGAAAAAAGAAATCGGATCGAGAACCATTGTCAGCGTTCAGAAGGTTTTGGGGGCTTTGTTGGGTCGAATTTACGGAGCGGTGAACCGAGGCAAAATGTCATGCAGCTACGCGGACGGGCTTTCGCACTACGAAAACAAAGGAGTGCTGGGTGTTGAGGAGGTAAAGATGCATTGTTTCCGTACGGTCGTTTGGCGGGAGTTGATCGGCCATCCACGATCCCTTCAACTTTGACTCTTTGTCGTTTCGAATTTTTCTCTTTTTTTTTTTTTTAATATCGTGCCTTGCCTGGGTTTTTCAGCGATACGACAGCGTCGAGGCGTTACGACTGAAATGCGGCCTTCTCGCCGAGTGGATACAAGCGGCACGTCACGTCGTTGTTCACACCGGCGCCGGCATCAGCACTGCAGCGGGCATTCCGGATTTTCGGTGATTATCATTTGTAATTTTTCGCTCGAATCCCCACCCTATTTCTGTTCACCCCTTCACCTCCCCCTGCAGCCCCGATGGCCCATGAACCCGTTCTGTTGTGCTCCCGAAAGCGCCACCGGTCAATTCTTTTAAATTAATCAGGCGGAAACGGGAGCTGCGAAGAAACTAGCGGAATCCGTTTCGGTCGCTGCGTCCACCATTGTTGCGCGCGACATCGGTGACGATGATCCCTCCCGAAATGATAATGAAATTAATGCTCACTCGTGTGATATGTTCTTGGCACTGTAGAGACGAAAATATGTTTCATTCTTTGCTTATACATTCGAAATATTCGAAATGAAAGTTCATTTCATTGTTTTTCTTATCATTACTAGATATATCATAATTACGATTATTAATTTTTGTTTATATTTCCCTATTTAACGTAAATTGTTTAGAAACTTTTGTCTTCAATTAAAGGCTTTGAGAAGTAATGAATATAAGAAAATTTGTATTGAAATTCTATTAATCTATTTCAATTTGTATACTCAATATTTAATATTATAGAGGTACAAATGGAGTATGGACATTAGAGCAGAAAGGTTTGAAGCCAACTATGAATATCTCCTTTGATGAAGCAATACCTACAAAATCTCACATGGCATTGAAAAAATTAATAGAAGCCAGTGAGTATAATTATCAGATACTGATAATTTATGGAAAATAATAAATTCGTATCGATATCCATTTTTTTCCAGAAAAAATTAAGTTCATCATTAGTCAGAATATTGATGGCTTGCATCTAAGATCAGGAGTACAGAGACAGCACCTTGCGGAGTTGCATGGTAACATGTTTACTGAACAATGTGATAAATGTGGCAGGTTAATATTTTGTCTTGAAAGTTATACATGATACTCTGTAATATGTGGAATCCACTGATTAAAACAATGTGAATATATTTTTATTGCAGGCAATTCATTCGGAACTTTGCAACCAAAAGTGTGGGCAAGAAATCGCTAGACACTGTGTGTAGGTCTGAACAGATAGGCGGTCGTCCATGTCGTGGCCGCATGCACGACACCATCCTCGATTGGGAACACAACTTGCCGGATAGTGATCTGACATTGTCTGATCTACACTCTAGGTAATTCAATATTTCGATCTTAATAAGAATGTTGATTTACTGGTAAATTATGTTCCATATTATGGCACGCTAAAGGTGGAAATCTGGACGCATTGCTCAAACTTTTGTAAGAAGAAAATTAATAGAAACGTATCTGCAAGAGAAACGTCTAGTCATGTCTAAGTGTGACTGCTTTTTAATGCAATTATTCACTAAAAATTTGATGTTTTTTGCGAACAGATGAAAGGAAGAGAACATTTCACGGTTGTTGAAGTACATATTAGATGTTTAAAAATTTTGGTGCATCTGCGCAAGTATGCGAAAAAATATTTTGGAAAGCTTTCGTTGATATGAAAATCCTATCTCGGTGTCTCAGGTTTTAGTTGACAATTATATTTCATTTATCACGATACCGGAAACGATGAGCATGAGACTGATATCGAATAATACGTTTACAGTGTGGCGGACTTGAGTATATGTCTAGGGACGACGTTACAAATTATTCCCAGTGGTAATTTGCCTCTGTACACCAAAAAGTATGGAGGTCGTCTTGTTATATGTAATCTACAACCAACAAAACATGTAAGACAATATTTTCATTCTATAATTAATCATATTGTATAACATGATCTCTATCTATTAATTATCCGATTAATAATTTAAGCTTGTATCTATGTAAGTTACTTTGCATTTATTACTCTGAAAATCAGTATAGTTAAAGTACAGGAGGGTACTTTGGTTTTAGGATAAAAAGGCGGACTTGATAATTAACGGTAATATTGATGATATAATGATCAGCGTGATGAAAAAATTGGGTCTAGAGATCCCAGAGTACGAGAGTACAATGGATCCAACACGGAACTCCGACACAACGTCCAAGGAGATGGACTGGACAATACCGACCAGCAGAGTAAAAGAGATGAACGTGCTGTACAAAAAGGTATGCAAGCCAATGAAAAGGAAACGAAAGACATTCATGTACGAGAGGGAACGGGCGGATGCTAAGCGGGAAACAAAGCCGAAGAAGCAGGCATTCATGATGAAAGAGGAGATAAAGGAGGAAGATGCATTGAACTCACCCAATGTAGAATGCAACGAGCCGATGGTCGGTCACATGAGTAATAACCCGGTGAAAATCGAGGAGGACATCAAGGACCAAGTGGAACCATTCGAATTCACGACGGAGAACGTGTCTCAACCGGAAATCGGTTTACAAGTGAATGACATACTGTAGCATGAAGATTTTAACATATGGTGATCATGACGACCTAATTAATACTCCGGTTGAGGGGTCTTCCTACTTTAGGCGGTTAAAACAATTGAACTTTTGAACTTTTTCAGTTATAATGTTTTTTTTTTTCTTTTAACCTAACACCATCACAATTAAAAGGATCGATAAAAGTGTCTGTAAATTTTGAGAACATTCTGCCTTACCAGTTCCTCTAAAGAAATTTTTGAAAAATGACATTTTTTAAGCGCTAGGGTGGGAAGAACCTTTGTTTCAGTCTACGTTCGATTTATTTACGAGTGCATATAGAATGGATGTTATCTGTATGTGAAGAATGCCTAAAAGTGCTATCAATTTGTTTATATAAAAACAACACGCAGAAAAAAAACATGAAAATGTAAAAGAAGTTCGGTAATTCGCTTTTATCGTCAGAAGTCGCAGAACGCTGCGCGATACGTGTACATATGTGTAGTAGTAATTTCGTGATCGCTTTCATGTTTTGTCCGCTTTCCCGTTGACTCTAGTGTAGTACGCGTGTACGCGCGTAGTTCTTACCCGAAATCAGCGATTCAGCGACTAACGTTGTATAATACTTCTAACCCACGCATAGATGCATGCACATCATGGGTTCTTTACATTATCGTAGTATGTCTAACGTTACGTACTTAAGATGATTTTATTTAGGATCGTTTGTGACGCGTTGATAGAATTTCCGTATAGATATCTTAAAGGAGATGCCATGTTTGATACTACATTTAAGTCCGTTTAATTGACCTATATATAATATATATATATATACACTGTTCGTGTTATCTCAAACTGTGACCAATACTTCCGAAAGTTGTTCGTAATATACGAAATGATTAAGGAAGATATATGATGATGTTTTAACTGAAATACTCGTTGCTACTTGGAACGTTTAAGATTGAGATCTTTTTAATAGAAAGCTCTGTACGAGCGTCGATGTTGTTTGGTCATTTGATAGTTAAATGTGTCTTTCTCGTTAAACGCACGTTAGTACGTTCGCGGCAGAGGTACAGAACTTTCCAGGAAGCTGCTGAAACGAGCAACAAACGCAAGATTTTTACTCACACGACAGTATGCCTTCGTGTCCGACTCGGAAAACGAAAGTGCAAAGGTTTATAAAAGCAGAAGGAGAAAAGTATGAACGAGTCTTTCTTATATCGGCATTCGACGCTATTCAGTCGTTAGCGTTTTATAGTAGAGCGCAGATTAGTGAAATGTGTAATATTTCTATGTATATAGTGATACGTGCTTGGTTGCTCCTAATAATTTATTACTTTAATTGACATCATTTACTGGACGTTACTATTAGTGAAATATTATAGCATTCGACGGAAAATAAAATTGTGGAAATGGCATGTTTGTATATCGCTTGTTCCTGCATTTTAAATTTATTTGAATTTGTTGATCACGGAATGGTGTAATACCGAGTCTGTTTTGATATCGTATATTCTTATTCATAGGTAAAGTTTAAACAAGGATACAACATAATCATGTACACGTGCGCTACAATAATTACTCCATAGCTTAAATTCTCTTAATTCGAATCAAGAAAAAACGTCACTCCAAAGATTCAAACGTATTCGCATCTTTAATAAATAGATCTTTATCGTTTACATACTTTATACTTTTTTTACGCAAACTTCACCAACACGTTGCGGTGCATCGACGTTTAAGGTCTGAAGTAGCGTTTCCGGTTCCTCTAGAGTCAATTAAGTACAAACCCGCCGCAAGATCACATTTTAAATATGTTACAGCGAAAAATTGCAGTCGGACGGATCAAAGTACTCTCGAATCAAATCGGTAACTAAACTCGCGTTCGAAAATTACGAATTCGAGAGATTACACTTTCGCGAAGATCTGATCCGCTACAATGTTCTTACGAGGATAAAGAAACACTGTTTCAAAGCGAAATTACTGGGGGTGTCTTCCGTGAGCTTAGAAAGCGATCAAGCTTATTTACGTTTTGATTTTCATTTCAAAAAAAAATCTTCCGTTACTCCGCTAATAAATACACCGACTACGCTACGAAAATGTACAAATTTTTATGGGTCTCTGTATTTATATCAAACTTCGAGCACGATCATCGAATTTTGTTCTGTTAATATTCCTATATTTACATGCGTTTACATGGTTGCAATGCGTTCAGTGTCAAAATATTTTTCACCGGACGCACCTGAGTCGCGATCGATAGTAACATTGGAACCGCCTCGACCCGATGACCCTGAAAACACACTTAACCTTAAAATTACGGAGGCAGTTACCCCCGCTCGTTTATTTCCGAAATGGCTCTGACTTCAATGTTCGATGCGTCACGAGTTCCTGTCATTCGTCGAAGCGGAAATGTATTTGTTTATACATACAATATGCAACGAGTCGTTACATAATCAATAATAACATTCTCAACGGAACGAATACATAGTGGTATTCGAAATAAATATCTCAGCATCGAAAATAGGAAACCTGAATAATTTCAAGTCATGGTCGAATCGGAAACGCACTTAAGGAGTACTTATCGTAAGTCACCCCGAGTAAGTTTCAAAGGCCGATTTTTCCGGGCATACGTCGATTCACACGCAATCGCTTTCGCTACAAAAGAATAAATACAGTATGTTTAAAGAGAGAGAGAGAGAGATGTAATAGGGAGGGTGGAAGATAGATAGATAGAGAGAGAAAAAAAAGAGATGAAGTCCACAGAGAGAAGGAAGTGACACACGCGCGGGTGTGTTTTCGTGTGTGTGATGCAAAACGGACAATATGGTGAACAAATAATTGCACGAAACGGAAAGAGAAAGTGGGAAGAGGAAGGGATAGGTATGACGATTAGGAAATACAAACTTTTATCGGTCGGTTCGATTAATAATTGTTCACATTCGAACCAAGTGCCGACTATTTGGTATAATTGCATTTAAATATCGTTTCCTTCTCAGAGAACTCATTAACGTGGGCTATGCACGACGCGAAACATAGACCTACCAAGAGTGTTCAATTAGGCTATCTATATACAAGTAATCTATACGCGACGAAATAGAAATCGATTATTACATATGTATATATTTATATATATTTATATATCATGATAAACTTTCCTATATTGCTCTACGTTTGCGTATTATCGTCGATCGTATCTTCGACATGCACGACATCGACCGAGAGAACGAACGCGACCGTGCCGATCGAGTTTCGGCGGTAATGTGATCGGCAATTTGAATGATCGTTTTTCGATTACATCGGTGGCTTCGTTCCGCGTATCGAGACCGTCATTTCCACGATGGCTGGAAAATGTTCTTCTCGTTTGCGAATTCCCGACTCTAAGTACGTGACAAACAATAAATAGAAGTACGTATATGGCTAACTTAATTCGTTGTGTAAAACGCATCTTTGGGTTTCAGTACGGCCCGATCGAAGAAGGCGAAGCGTCGTCGTCCGGATTGAGTCTAGTACTTCCTGACGCTCCCCTTAACGGTTCGAATCACGAGCACATTTGTCCGCCTTCTTTGCTTATATATTCGTCTCCATATTGACAAGGTTGTCGTGTTTTTCCGACATACGACACTACCCCTTATGCTTACTAGAAACGTGTTGCTCACACGTACGTGGGATATTGATATGTACATGATACAGAGAGATACCCGCCGCAAGTACACACTCTTGCGCGGTTTCGAAACACAATATTGTAGGCACATTATCGATGGAGAAAACCATACTGATCCTACGATCACTGGCTATATAGTTATACTATGTCAGGATAGGTCGCGCCACGCTTCCAAAATCAATAAATACGTTCCTCCCGATTCGAACACGCATTGCCCAAGCAATTTTGATGAGATCTTTCTTTGCATTCACTGCTAAATACTTGAGAATCAACGGATTGATAATATACTTGTTATTATTATTAACGTGTAGCCACTCTGTTCTTTGTTTAAAAGTAGCATCGAAATATTCTATCCTGCTCACAATCCGATAGTGAATGGAAGGTTGGTACCGCTGGAACCTACGGTACCAACTTTAAATTCAATTTAAGAATGAATGAATGAGATTGAAAGATGATACTTTCACCACGAAACAGAGGGAATTGATAACAATAAGAAGTATGTTATTGAATAAATATAGAATATCGGATGATGGCACAAGGTAATCTTGCGTCTGGTTTCGAGCAACCTATTCGAAAATTAATTTTTTCATAGTTATTAAAAACATCCGACTCGATCTGTTTGAGTTTGTAGACTTGAAAAGATCCACCAAAGTAACACGTGTCCATAATTCCATCTTTTATATACCTAAGAACACTAGCTCTCCCGTGAAGATCAACCCAGTCATGTGGTCAACTTGCCTCTTAAGGGGGAGGAATCTAAGGCACGATCGTGAATTATCCAGAGACTGCAGATCGAGCAGCTTCACTCGTGGCTGCGTTTCACTCCTAGAAGTTTGGCGGCATCGTCGGCTGACGCCTGAAGAACCCGGTCAATGAAGCTCTTATCCCGTATACCCAGCAGATTGGAGATCAGGTCATTATCTGCACTCTCACTGGCGTCTGGGTTTACATTTTGCGGAATGCTGGCCAGTTTTCCCGTTAAAGTTGTTAATTTTTCATACGGATTGAATCTCATCAGTCCACTGGGTGCTGCATCCCCAGTTGCGACTGGAACAACAGTGGGTAACGAAATTCTGTCCTGTATTCTGGTATTCCCAGAATTTGCTGCTACTAGTACCGGTTGTTGTTGTTGGCTTCTAGGTGTAATGGTTGGTGGTTGCGTCGGTGAGTTATCCTCATCGCCGCTGGTGCCTACGTACATGGTCGAATCGATAGATTCGTGCTTCTTCCGGTGTCTTAGCATACTATGCTTCAAAGTGAACCTCCTGCAGCAGATGTCACAGGAGAACGGTCTCTCGCCTGTATGCGTCCTCATGTGCCGACGCAGGTCCTCCGCCGACCAGAACCTCCTCATGCAGAAAGCACAGACCACCTGGAAATGTTGGAAGAGCCAACTTTTTTAGTCGATGCTGGGATTCTTCATCAATCACACATCTATTACAGAACAAGTAGTCCACTCAAAGACAGCTAACAAGACATCAAAGAGACATCACTTCACTCTTACCTTCCGGTTACTGTAATCGGGGAAACGGCCCCTTTTCTCTTCCCCGTCGCTCGGGTGTTGGGGCGGTGGTGGCTGTTGTTGGTCCTCCGCTGTATCAATATCCATATCCAATGCTCCCTTGGCTACTAGCATCTCGTAAGATCTCTTATGGTTCATCTTGATGTGTTCCAGACAGTCTTGTCTCTCGGCGAATCCGCAGTCGCACAAGTGGCACTTGAACGGTACATCACTGGGTCCAGGCGATGATCTTGGCGATGGTCTCCTGGATCTAGGCGTGTCGTTGGTAGACGGTGAAGTGTTCGAATTCGATTTGGGGAGTCCCGACACAGAGGACGTCTCCATCCCTTCGGAGACAGTCGAGGACTGACTGTCGTAATCACTCTGTTCAGTTTGCTTGGAACATTCCTGCGGACTGTTCTGTGGTTCACTGGACGGAGTATCGGACCTGGACTTCATCTTCCGTGCGTGCTTCGTCGAACGATGCTTCTTTAAGTTCCCCAACGTGGAGAATGTCGAACTGGGGCACTGGTTACATTTGTAAGGCCTTTCGGGGACGTTTCTCATGGAGAAGGAATTGTTGTTACTGACGACAGTCTGACTGTCAGGGGACGAGGAGTTCCTCGCCCTGCGCATCTTGTTCGGGTTCGTCTTGTGTTTCCTCAACAGGTGACGATCGCAGTTCGACTTGGTGGTGAACAGTAGAGAACAGTGAACACACTGGTACGGTTTTTGTCCCGTGTGCGTTAGAATGTGTCTCCTTAGAGAAGATGTCCAAGGGAACGGCCTTTGACAATACGGACAGATCACTCGGTTCGGTGCCATGGAGTACGCAGATTTCTTCTTCTTCTTTTTCTTCTTTTTCTTCTTCTTTTTGGACGAGGTGTTCACAGAGTTCAACGAGTTCACGGAATCTGACTTCTCATCGCTTCCAGAGTTGTTACAGTCGCTGTGTGACGCGACTAGACCTTCCTCGTCGCTCAGATATTGCGGTTGAAACTGTTGATACTGCTGGGAAGCGTTGTCCAACAGTTCAGATACACTGGCCAAATCGGTGGTCCCGTCCTCCATCTTCTCTGCCTTCTCTTCATCCGGTTCGGACTTAAACACCCTGTCGGCGTCATCACACGGTTCGTCAGTCTCCATTGGCTTCTCCGTGTCCGACATCTTCGTGTCATCGTTACCGTTGTCACTGTTAGCTGACTCGGTGTTCGTCGAATCGCCACTTTTCGTGCATTCGTCAGCCTCCTCCTTCACCACCTCTTTGGCAGACTCTAAACCTTCCAGCTGACCTCTCAGCAGACTGGTGCATTTATCCTTCTGGTCTTGAGATTCCTGGTCTTTGTCTTGAGGATCCTCATCGATTACCAACTCCTCCTCCGAATCATTCTCCTCGAGCTTGTTGGCCTTCAACTGCTGCGCCAGAATGGCGTACTTCACCTGATCGGATATCGGCGGGTGTTTCGAATACTCGGTACTCGGTTGTTCCACTTTCGGCAGGATATTGGGATACGATTGCGTCGCCTGTGACGCGGATTGTCCTAAGTTCTGCACCAACGTCGGATGACTCGAGGGTGGTCTTCCTCTGGTCGAGTGTCCACCTCTTGGTCTTTGGCTCCAATGCTGAGGATGTTGCTGCTTAATGTGTCTCTCCATGTTGCTCCTCAGGGTGAATCTCGCGGAACAGTGTTCGCAGGTGAACGGCCTCTCTGTTCTGTACCGTCTTTGCTTCTGTTTAGGCATCAACACACCGTTCTTGATCACCATCTTCACGGAGTTCGAGGACGGTATGTGATTCTCCGGCTTGTCCCGGTTGACCAATGCTTTGCTCGCGAGTTTCGAGGAGATCAGCTTCGCGTAGTCGCTCTGTTCGGTCGGTGGCTGAGCGTTAATGTCTCTACTTTGAGGGAAAGCGGTGAATCCAGCGGCAGCTATAGGCGGTTCCACTAGAGTACCACCGCTGGTCAACTGTAGGCCCCTGACCAGCTCTTTTTGCAGTCTTTCCTTGATGGAGAATTCCTGTCCGAAGACATGAGGATTGAACAGATACGGGGGTAATATACCCGCCCCCACACCGCCGGGAAACGTTCCAAAGTTCCTATAAATCATGTGAGCGTTCGCATAGAGGGCTTCCAGGGATGTAGGCTGAGAGCTACCCTGTCCAGCCTTCAGTAAAGCCTCGGTCAGCAGTAACTGACTGGTGGCATTGTACAATTCTTTCTGGCTCTTCCCGTATGGGTCCTGAGAGGCTGTCGTGTAATCGTTGTCCTCTTTCTCCTTCGATTTCTTACTGAGATCGAGAACGTCCATCGAGAGATCCAGAGGTCCGTCCTCGCCGATATTCTCGGACACGTTCAGACCCTTCTTCAAGTTCATCGGACTAGCTTGTAATCTTTGGTGCGAATCTGATTTGGTATCACTGACTAGAGACACGCTGCCCTCCGACGATCTCGACTCCAGGTCTTCGTCAAGCTTCGCGTAGTCCTGCTTGGTGTCCCCAGATCTCGATTCATCCACGTTCCGTTGCGTCAGTTCGATGGGCTGGCCTGGTCTCGAGAACGCGTCCAGTTTCTCGTAATGATTACCGTGCATGGACATCGGATTGTGCAGCTTCGCCTCCTCTATCATCCTGACATCACCTCGACCGTCGATCGGCACCGACGGGTAATGAAGCTGCGCTTGATGCGGCAATTCGTCGCGATCGTTCGGATAGACCAGGCTCTTCCTGACGTCGTCCTTGATCACCCTGGGCGAGCTTCTCTCCACGTTCTCGTTCGTCGAATCCTCGTTCGGATGATAGATCAGAACGCTCTTGATGTCCTCTCTGGTGAGCTTCCCGTGCCTGTTCCGAACATGACGCTCGCAGTTCGCCTTGGTGGTGAACGCGTAATTGCACAACGAGCACTCGTACGGCCTGTCGCCGTTGTGGGACCTCAGGTGTCTGACCAACGTGGCTTTATCGGTGCTCGTGTACGGGCACATGTTACAGGGATAGGGCATTCCCGGGCCGACGCCCATGTGCGCCCTGTTGTGACCCTTCAGGGCCCTCAGGTTTGGGAATATCGCTGTGCACAGTCTACAGGGAAACTCCCCTTTTAGCTTCATCTTTCTGAACTCGGCCGCGAACGCGTCCTGTGCCTCCTCCTCGTGATACTCCGACGAGAAGGTGCCCGAGGATCCAGAGGAGCTGACGCTGGGATTGAACTTGATGTTGCTTTCGGGCGTACTCGCATCCGATCTCGGGAAGTTCTGCAGTATCGGTCCAGATGTCACGGAGATAATGCTCTGAATATCGGCGAGATCTTTGCCCTCTTTGGCTTCAGTTAGCGCGGCTTTGTTCTGTAAGTCTAGACCAGCGAAGAAATCGTCCCTTCGGGATTGGTTGTCGTCGATCACCCTGGTCTGAGAAATCGACATCCCGCAATCGCTTTCGTGCGCGTCCAGGGCCGATCTGCACGGGAACGCTCGAAGACACTTGGAGCATTGGAACTTGGCGACTTCTCCGGATGCTGGCCGATGAAGGGACTGCTCGCAGACCGCTCGGGCGATCGCCGGGAATTTATCCGACGAGAAATCGACGAACGTAAGATCGTTGAAACCGACCACGGAATTCCGTAGATTCCTCGCGGTGTTACCGATCGAATGCTCCGCGAAATGGATCATGAACCGGTGGAGATTCAACACCCGATGGTTCTTGAACGACAGATTGCAAGCGTCGCATTTCGCGGGGAATTCCGGATGGCTGCGCTCCAGATGCGCTTCCAAGAGGGCGCTGGTGGCGAAATCCTGTCTCCCGCATACCGGACAGTTGTAAACGTTCTGACTGTCGTCCGGTCGCGCTTTGATCTCCGTACGAGAATTGTTCAACAGGATCTTGTGCCTCTTTTGGTTCTCCGTGTCACTGGGATAGTCCGTGCATTTGCGCTTCAGACTGGACGATTTCTCTTGTCTGTCCACGATGAAATCAGGCGAGTTCCTCTTCGCGATTTCGTTGTTGTTGTACTCCTCCATGTGACGTCGTTTAGTCGGTTTCTCCGAGTCGCTGCTGCCGTCCGAGTCCGTGCAGCTGTGCGGCGAGGTCGATCGATGGGCGGTTCTCAGATGCCTGTTCATGTTACCGTTCGTGGTGAACGCCATCTCGCAGTACTTGCATTTGAACGGCCGTTCCCCGGAATGGACCAGCACGTGTCTGTCCAACGAGCTCGCAGAGCTCAACACTTTGTTGCATACCCCGCAACAATAATCCTCCTCGCCGCTGCAGTCAGTGCTGCGTGGTGAGTTGTGACCGCGAAGATGGTTCGTCAGCTCCCGCGAACTGGGGAGGATCGTCGGGCAGGCGGGACAGGGGTGAGCGCTTTCTGGCAGCTCGACCTGTAACCCGAAGAGAAAATAGGGTTGTCGTTAGAAATTATTTATTTATTTAATCATTTAATGGATATAAACACAGTATACATACATAACATTTATTGAAAATAAGATTAGAAACAGTTGCAACAATATATTATGCAGTATGGAATTAGTCGCGATAGGAAATTTTTTAATAAAGTATTAAGTAAGATTGAACAGTTCTTAGTGCTCTATGTAGGGATGCCTTGAAATATTCAATAGAGCCACTGAAAAAGTCAATTTAGTGGCTGATTTCAGGATTCCAGGATTCAAATTATGACGTCTTGCGGATTTCGGCCACCGACCAGCAAATTTGGCTTCTGCTAGAGGAAGAAATGGGGTAAAGGCCTCCTACTACTTGATTTCGCGAGTTACTGAAATTTATGCCAAATTAACATTTGGTTTAATATTTATTTCAGTACTTGAGGTAAATTTGCTAAGTGGTAAGAGGCTCTTTCTTCATGGCGCTTTTTCCTCTAGCGGAAGATGACTTTGCAAACTTATGCTAGTTTATGCAAAAGGGATTCGAAGTTACTATCTCTGGATTCTTTAACCGATTCGTTAAATATTGATACCTGCTGGTAAAATATGAACGATATTGACGTGTATTATGTATTTATTTGTAAGACAAGCCGGCTGAAAATAGATTAAAACGCGATGCTTTGAGAGTCTAATGCATCGAATGTGAAGCTTCTCGAGCAAACAAGATGGCGGTTTAAGAGCGTACTGGAAAAATCATGTGAATATTCAAGTTCCAAGGTTCCATGCAAATGGAGGTTACTGGAATGTTTTTAAAGGTTTCTTTTTTTCTTTAAAGATATCGATCAGATTCAAGTTCAAAGGCGAGTTCAATGACCGCCAGGCACGCTACTGCTATCGGCTTATCAGTGTTCAAACTATTGATCCTTCGAGTCTATCGTTTCTACAGTTTTTTTTTATTTAACTTGTACACGTAGGATACAACGCGTCGAAACAAAAATGCACGATTATTATTGCATATATGTAATTTAAAAAAAAAATTAAATGTAGATCCTACGGTTCCTGTGTCGTCAAAATTACAGACAATTTTGAACCGTTATTTTCTACAAGCATGAATTCAGTCGATTCGCACGTTCAAGAGACTCAAATCAATGAAAACTTACACTCGATGGTGGCGATGCGGCATCGGCTTGTGCCTCGTTGTCGATTCCCTGATCGGGTCCACTCTTGACAGTAACTGAAACAATGAAAAAAAAAACAACGATTAACATTTAAATTCGTATAACCATCGACATGAAATCTAACAAGTCAGAAATCAGAATGCAACGCGTGAACCCTCGGTAACTGAAACTCTGACGCAATTTAATATTAGTGCTTTACTTTGATTTCTCGTTTAACTAAACCAATAATACGAGATGCAAATTATGTTCCCAGTTTAATTTTTCTTTTCATAAATCAGCCGATGAAAAGTGGATTTACATAAACGTCCGCGATGGCCCAACAACCGTGCAACGTGTCGAAGGGTCCGTGTCAACGAGAACAGTTTCCATCGGGTCGATAATAATAGCGTATTGTTTGTAAATTTTTTTAATCGGCCCTCCGACACGATCGCGTCACGAAGAGAAAAAAAAGAAAGAGAAAGGTCCGTGGTGCTCAGGAAGCTGATAGACGCGACCGCAAAAGAACGCTCGCCAAGCTGGGACAATGACACTTATCAGCTGCCTCGCGCGCGACGTCCTGACCGCAATCAGCGGGCCTGTTTACACGCGTCTGGAAACGGCCCCCAAGGATCTGCCGGAGGCAAGACTGGAGCTCACTTCCGAGAACGATACGGGGACGAAAATAGGCCGCGAGAAAAAGAACACGATTGCGCGCGATAAACGTCGTTCCTTCGCGGGGACAATGAAGAAAAGAAAAAAAAAAACGGATCGATAAAACTGCCTCGCGGACAATCTATGTATGTACATACGTCTCTGCGAACAATCCTCTAGAATCTATGAAATACATAACTCAGGATTTTGATTTAAATCCGTTCGTGTCGAGGGACATGAATATGGACAGATATTTTACAAATTCGTTACATGTCACGAATGACAAAGTTAGGAAGGATAAATTATTTCGTCGAAATATTTAACGAAATATTTATTGCCTTAAAATGAAGGATTTTTTAATGATCTTTAATTAAAGGAATGGTCTTTTTTACATTTGTTGGATAAGTAAGAGATGTTAGAATTATTTGATACGGTAGGAGCAGAGAGATTCGAATAATAATTACCGGGAGATCCGACTGAGGAAGGCAAGAAACATTTTGAAAAATAAGCTCCGCATCAAAGTGTCTCCCGCGGTGACTCATCCGGAATTATGAAGCACAGGTGCGAACAAGCGGGCTCGAATGAACCTGTTCCCCCTGCGTGGCTTCTGTGACAAACGTATATACTTGCCTGGCTGCCTGCCGGGCAGGTGATTTTATTCATGCGCGTAAATCACGCGTACGAAACGGGTTTGTCGACCGCTCAACTTAGCTTGCGGTTTGCGTTCGCGTTTAGTGCGCGCGATTGCGCGGTAAGCGTGGGACATTAATTCGACACGAGCAATTTATGGTCGTGCGACTTCTTTCAGACCGCTATTCTTTTTTCTTCCTTAAATTCTCATGTGACGACCGTCGAAAACCTTTTTGGTTAAAAAAAGGTAACTCTAGAAAGGGATGACAATACAAAGTAAATATTCTTTTCAGTGGAATAAATCAAAACAATATCGCGTCTATATTGTTATGGAGTCGCGGGTGGTAGGAAAGACGCCATCTTGTTTCCGACGAGAACTGACCTAACCAAAGCATAATCGGAACATTACAAATTGTTTCGTTTAAAGAACCGAATGCAGTAAAATAAAAGTTTTCAAATTTCACCCCGTATTTATAATAAACATTAATTTTGTTGTAATTCCATAACGCGAAGCAAATAGGCGTTTATCTTGGCGTAGCCGGTGCAGATTTTCGGAAAAAAATCTGTTATCTGCGCACGTGAGTAATCGTTTATCAACATTACGAGAGATCTCACTACGAAAATATTATGTGAATTGTTAACATACACGCTCGAATTGCGGGAAATACGATTCTCGTACGATGGAGTTTTATAATATCTATTTATAATCAATCGGGTGAGTATGAAATCGGTTTGTACGTGGCGGTAAGGCGACCAGTGAAATTCGGAACAGATCCGTCTGTCGTGACAGGTGGAAATTCCAGGTGCTTTCCATTTCTAACGACCGCGAGCGACCCAATCGTTACGGGGCTCTGTGAACCACGAAAAACCACGATTTCTATTTTCCATCTCTCCCGATGGCGAACAGCGTCGCTGCTCCGGCTACGAGCGTATCGATCGGTCCCACACCGGCAAATTGCACTTTCGACTCTCGGCCGATCTCGTTGCGGAGAGATCGGGAGGAGCGAATCGAACTGGAAAAATTCAGTCTTCTGTTTTTCTAAAGAGAAGCGAAAGGAGACACCTGTTCTCTTATTAATTCGACAATGTACGATTGTCGATCGTTGATTCAACGAAGTTCCGAGAAACATACATTAACGATATTCTTCCGATGGTTAGTTGCTGAGACTTATTTGATGCTTCAAATTATTTTGTTCTCCACTTATAGTAATCAGTCATCGGTTACTATTATCAACAGTAATTTCGTTTAGTTCTAGATCAAAAGAAAGTAAATTAACTCCCATTTGTTCTACAGATCTCTTCCAATCTTCTATTCTCCTGCTCATTTTCCACAAACTATACTCGCGTCTTCCTGTTTAACATACATTCCTGGCAATTACACACTCGTGCGCTCGTAGACACGTTAACATAAATTACGTTACGCAAAGATGCGTAACAAGAATGCAAAACATACCTCGGACCTGTACAACTCCAGAATCCTCAACTGTTAATTGTTTCTGACTCGATCGGATAGACCATCGAACGGGCGAAAAAATTTGTATTTTCGGGGGCTACGAATTGTAAGGAGGCATCTGGTGCGCGCTCGCGATAGGGCGACATCGTGAAGGGCCAGAGAACCGCGCCACGCCCTACAACCGCAATGCACCCCCCGTCGGTGGAGCCCGTGTCGCAGAGGGCCGTGGAAAAGGGAGCAGTGTCAGTCAGTCCATCGAGGGCGTACATGCGCACTTCCGCCGACCCGCGCCTCCTACGAATCGTAGGATGCTGCGCTGAACCGACTGGTGGGGGATATCCTCGCCATTGGCCGACTCTCATCTGTCCGAGCTTTTATCTCGTCTCCCTCTCCCCTTACCCTCCAACCGCCCGCCCGCCCGACTGCCCGCCCCCTCCCCTTTACGAGCGGAATCCCCCTCTTTCCACGCCCCACCATCCAGTACTTGCTCTGTCTCTTTCTCCGATTCGCTTTATCTTCCTGGTGGAGTTCCCCTTTCTGTTCGCTCCCCCCTCGGTCCACTTTTCCTACTCCCCCTATTTCCTCTAGAGTCATCGGATACGTTCGATTCTTTCGATTTATGCAGAAGTATCAATTGATCATTGGGATATTTAATATAAGAGGAAGGGTTAATTTTTTAGAAGTGTGATGTTCGTGAATTTTCCTTTGGAAAAAGGGATTTTCTTGTGTTGTTTGTACAGGTCAGATCGAGTGGATAAAGTTGTGTTAAGTTGTTCACCTTTACGTATATCCTGTTGTTTTCTCCTTTTGGTCCAGGACTTTGATATTTTTAATATTTTTTTTATACATATATGTAGCTTGTTAGTCTGTAACGGCTTATGGATGATTACAAGCAAAAAGGGCGGTAGTTTGTTTCACCTTGTACTTTTCATCACCCCCGTTCAAAATCTACCCAGAGACTAGAATTTCCTTCTCCCTTTATCCACCTTTTATATTCGTTTAAATATCACAAGGATCATACCATTTCATCCTTATCTCTTCCATCACCCTCTCGAGTCGTATCGATTAAACGACAAGAACCCGCCTCATTTTCCTCTAGATTCATATTCATTACAATTATTCGAAAACAACAGAGCCTCTCCCCTTCACCACAAATCATCCCCTTCATGCTCTCGTATTGATTAAAAGACAAGAATCTGTTCTCTTTCCTACAGTATAATTTATCCGCGACATATTCAACTGGAAATCTGTTCTCCGAGTTTCCTGAAAAACCAAGGACCCCTATAAAAATCATCCCCGTAGTATCGACCAAAACACAAAAATCTCGATCATCCCACCCCAATTTATCCCGTACGTTTTCTACTTTGCACCAACTGTATATAGATATCACCCTAGACACTGAGGGCGGTCTCCTCCTTCCCCTCATCCGCCCTCATCCCCCACAGTCTCTCTCCTCTCCGTGTTTCCATCGTTCCCCTCATCCGCCCCCTTTTTTCGTCTCCCCCTATACTTCCCCCACCATCTATCCCCCCGTTAGTACATACATATCTCCATCGCTCCCGACACTCGACCGGCGTCGTAGTCGTCGTTTCGTCGTGTCCCTCTTTCTCCATCTCCTCGTTCGTCTCGACCGTGTTCCCGCCTCCCTCTCCTCTCCCTGTTCTCCCTCGTCTTCCCCGCTCTCTCTCACTCTGTCTCTCTCTCCACGCTCGGATACACCCACGCAGCACGCAGGAGAAGCAAAGATGGCGGTGTGCTCGGTTAGTGGTGTTTCGAGAGTCGTAGCCCTGACAACCTTGGACCTACCCACCCGTGACACCCTGTGGCTGGCCACCCTCCGCTGGCCGGTGACCACCGGAGACACACACACACACACACACACACACACACACACACACACACACACACACACACACACACACACACACACACACACACACATACACGCTCTTCTTCCCTCCCATTTCACGGCCCCTGTCCGCGCTCACCCCGTGGCGGAGACAGAGGAATCGAAGGGGAAGAAATAAACACACTCGAGAATTATTGTATCTACCTATATGGGTTGTGTTCTGGGTGTTTCACTTCGAAGCCGTTTTTTATTCGGGAGGACAGAGTGGTGTTCCGGATCGATGGAAGTCTCATGGCGCTTCCGGTTCGTTGTTTGGTGACTCAGAATTATAGGGTGGTCGAAATTGCGGAAGAAATTAGAAATAAATCGATCCTCGAATGATATCGATGGGTATAATGGTGGATAATTTTATCGAAGGAAGTTATTGGAGGTGAATTTTTTAGACGCCACCTTCTGTCGCGGCGCTTTAGAAATCAGTCTCTGTGCGGGTTATG